AATTAACCTGTCTCAACACACACTGAAGTTGCTGGTAAATTATCCGTCAAGAAAATATATGGGAGTGACTATTTTGTGGGACAATTTCACGAGAAAAAGTTTTCATCCTAACTGGCAGCCCATCTAGTTTGGTTATTTTTAAAACTTTCAGAATTTAGCGGTATAAAATGTTTTGCTTCCATGAAAAATTCACCACACGTGTTTGACTCTGATATTTATTGGACCGTCTCCTTAATTTTCAGCCCAACTGAGTTATGAGAGCCTGAAGCTATTAAGAATACTGGCCACGTTAAGTTGGACATGCTTTGCATTACAAAGGGTTAATTGTTTTTATCACGTCCTTTGCTTTGATGGGTACATGAATATTTTACGACGGTCCTTGACAACATGTTCCCTAGGTCACGTTTTGCAAAGATTGAATTTTTTTTGAAGTATTTTTATTTTTGACACATTTTGAAAACTGTCTGGATACAAACCAAGACCCCTGAATGCGTAGAAGAGTCCAGAATGGAAAAATCTCTTCGCGAGCCTAAACACCAGTCTGTCCCGCTCCTTCTGTCGTGCACCTGTCTTAGTGTCTGTTTCAGTTTGAATTAATATTCCTCCACAGGGAAGAACAGGAATCTTGCTACAAGTAGGAAGATATAGTTTTCCCTTGTATCTTGGCCAGTTTAAAAAAAATGCTATCTGGCGATCGTGACGAAGAGGAAGAGAGCGCGAATTTTGTACAGTGTACAAAATATATCCAGATCGGTATCACATAGGATCACTTTCGTTTATTATTGGGCACCAGGCAGGAATATCCCTCTCTCATTTCAGCTGCGGAAATTTGAATGGAATAAACAAAATCTCAATGCAAATTTTCATAAAAACTATTGGTTCGGTGTAAACAATCGGCTTAGAACTGTTACATACCGACCGCAAAAAATATTGTATTATGAAGCTCTTCCGACATGGGGTAAAGCCCCAACTATTTTGGAACGTGCCAAAAAAAAAATGCAACCTAAGTAAGAAGCATTTCATTGAAAAGATCTAACATTTCCCACGATGTTTACAATTGAAATCTATTGCTGAATTCTTTTTGGCACAAACACGGATGCAAATTGACGATCGATTACCCCCACAAGAAAATTAGACAAGAGACTAATAACTTTCATTTTCATTCATTCGTTCGTTCGACTTAAATTAACCATAGAATACAACAATACTATTTTCATATTTACAAAAATTTACCGTATTAGCGAACACAACTGTACAGGCAATAGATAAAGAAGAAATCATCATCTTAAGCTCTCGCATTGCACCTTCAAATCTATTTACATTATGTAGCCGATGCAATAATAATGTTAATATTGTACGACAATAAAGCCATGAAATTTCTCTCCTATATACAAAGAAAACGTCGATTTTCTTGCGAAAGAGTTCTAAATAATCCTGGTCATGGATAGATCAGGATATCTTGTGGTTTCTTCAAATATAAAAGCTCTCTTAACATTTATGAATAAAACATTTATCTCTGTACAAAATCCAATTTAAGTCCACTGGAGATAAAAAAAAAATTCTATCTTCCTTTTCGCTATTCCCATCCATTATCCTTGATCATATGCGCCATTTCGATGATGAACTTTCCCTCTTTGTATTTCTGGCTATTTTCAAAGGCGTGCTCCTGGAAAAGAAATGAAAGTAAAGAAACATTAGGCCACTAATTTTAAGAGCGCTCAGGGACTGTTGTTGTCATCATGGCGAGAAATTTGCATAATGGTGTGTTTTCCTTCGACACTGCGAAAAACACGCGGGAAATTTTCCCAAGAAATTACTCTGGTGTTATTCGGCTGCCATACAAAGAAAAAACGGAAAGTAATACTCACGTATTTCCATCCCAACGTTGTTTTACAGCACTCGCAATAAATGTCGGCAACTGCATGAAGGCCCGTCAAAAGAACCCTTTCCTCAGCTGGACCGCAACCGACATTCACTCTGCGAAAACAATAATTCACAGAAACAGTTAGATTGAAAAACAGCACCTTAAAATTACAGTGTAAAATGAATCTTTTATAAAATAACAACTCACACTTTGTTGAACAAGTAAGCTCGGCCTTGGCTACCTTGGAACGACTGAAAGCGAAAATTACATCTCAAAATCAACATGGCTGTTGTTGTCACGAACTGGAACATAAACATGCGATTTCTCTAAAACTGAGTCTATTTTCGCTAAAAACAAAGGTCTCACCTTCGAAATAAGTTCGTCGTGGTTGGCCAGGTGAGCCCGACAGTGAATACAACTGTACTTTCTGTGACACTGAGGACTGAGATACGCTTGAAACGTCTTCACCATGTCGTCGATTTCAGGAAATGAAACTCACTTCCAAATCCCGGAATGAATATTAGGTGAATTTCAAAAGCGTCACCACCACGAGGTTTAAGAGATTTCAACAGCAATAGGTCAAATTGATTGATCCTATCAAACCAAAGCCTACACTTTGCTTTCCCTCGCAGAACTAACACTTTTTCTGTCGCAGTTTGTGTTGTTTTGGAAATTTGTTTTTGCCACACACGTGACACTCGGCTGGGTTTTTGTTCATTTCCACCAATTAGAACGCAAGCTTTTGATAACCTGAGGGAAAGTAACCAATCAGCGTGCTCTGGTATAAATGCATGGCAAAGAAGTAAAGAGGTCTCGAGACCCGAGAAAACACCGGAAATCGAAAATCACGGATACCATTGCGTCATGATTTTCAACAGCAGTTTCCGTCAACAAAACTCCAAACAACAATTTCTTTCAGGTGACTTCGCTCACGTAAACTTTTTATTCAATACGAATTATCTGTATAAAACCAAAAATCTAAAATCGAAACAGAGGGTTTTATCTTCGTGACGGAAGACATGCTTCACCTTGGTCGCGGAGGACTCCAGCTGTGCTCGTTTTGCTCGTTTGTATTCCGCGCACGATTCAAATCAGAAGATACCATGTGCGTTTCCGCGCGCAAGCGATAAGATCAAAAAACAGACTTTCACAAAACAATGCGCCTCTTGCGTTGACGATGTTGGCTGTGCGAATTGTTCACAATTGTTGATCGTGCAATATCAATACTGAAAGTATAAATTTGCTAATGATCTGCATTTTGTCAAGTCGTAAAACTGGTCAAGCTGGCTGGCAATCAGTACCCTCAAGAAATTCGTAGACTAGACGGGGAGTCTTTTACGAAAATGTTTAAGAAATAATTCAGTGAATAAGGAAGTGCAATAGAATAACGAGTTCGGGGCCAATATCACGCTCTAAAATCGGGTCATTGACCCACTACTTGTTAGCGAGAAGGCATTTACCGCTTCATCTGCATGTGATGTGGACCTTTGCATGTACCCCTTAAGAACTAAAGGTACGCGACTGATCGACCGAACTATAGCCCAAACGCTTTTTGAGTCCTTTCGTAGTACGTTTTAGTGTGGAAACAAGCACTATTAAGCCCCCCCAAAAGACAAATAATGTAACTTTGCGTTTATAGCCAGAAAAGAGGGGGAGGAGGAGGGGAAGTGTCGCAGCGAGTCCTTAGCTTCCTGTGCTTACCCATATAAGGAGCTCGAGGAGCCTAAATGGGCCCCTGCCCCTATGTATCACTTTTGACAAAAGGAGCCCATTCACATACTTACAAAGAACGCTGCATCTCGTCTTATGAAGTACAATATAAAACAGTTTTCTTGTAAATGCTCTCTCTCATTTTCATATAACGGGAAAAAATGAAAACGATACAGCCATAAGCACAAGTGCGTCTAATGCGTGCAAAGTGGCAATTAAAAACCAATTAATTGGCTCCTAAAATACGTTAATGACAAACTCTTCAGCTTAGGAAATTCATACCTTTTCAGTAACCCGAAAACCTAAAAAGGTCGAAAAAGGTACCCCGTTTGGGAGGAGCTTCCCCGCATAGGTCATCGAAGACACTGGGATCATGGAACCCTCTTCCCCAAAACAAAGAGAAACCATTGAAGGGCCTAACTGTTATAATTTAAGTAATGATGACATAATTTTTTAGAGGCCAGTTAGGAAAACGAGTGTGAAAAATGACATTTTTTGGTCTGAAATAGGGTGAAGATTTGGAGAACCGGGCGGCACTCCCACACCAAGAATTCCAAGGAGTACTCCCCAACCGGGAGTGAAGCCCTGCGTTAGTCGTCGCTGAGAGATAGGGGATTATACTTTTCCTTGACTGACTGTTATAAGTTATATTTGAATTAAACAATATCCGTTCTTGGGATTACTTTGATTTTGCTTCAAAGGTTATCAGATCCAATCACAGCTACAAATTACAAGTAAAACTGGTGACTTGTAACTGTTATAGATACTCTTTCTTTGTTAGAATTGTGCCCGAATGGAACAATTTGCCCCGCTACGCTGTGGAGGCTGGAAATTTAAGACGTTTCAGAAAGCTACTCTTAAATCATACATCAAATATGTGTATTTCATAATTCATTCTTTTCTATGTAAATTTTTCCTCTTAGACACTGTTTTGTAATTTGACTTTTATTTTTGTATAGGTAATAGCATGATTTGTAGTGATATTTGGCATAAATACCACGAGTGATAATTTAAAATTATTATACGTGATTTCACGAGCCGTTAGGCGAGTGAGATTTGAGACAATTTTGAAATATCACGAGTGGTATTTATGCCAAATATCACGTACAAATCATGCTATTATTTGTTTATACTACTACCAGCAAAAGGTTTGTAATTTTCTCATGTAGGTATTTCAAATTAAGCTGAAATACCACTGCTCTAAGCCAATCAAATTGCAGAAATTTCTCATGTAGTAGTATAATAGGGAGTTAATTCATATAGAGACCACCTTTTAAACCTCCTTTTCAGGGTGGTATTTTTGAATCTTTTATTTTTATGATACCTTGAATAAAGTATGTATGTGTTTTATATTTGGAAGGTGTCACGCTATTAACCTCGTTCTCACGTTCTCTGGGAGATCTGGGAACGAAATCTAGTGTCACGTAACACATACTCGAAACAATGGCTTCACGTCCTGTTGTGCTGTGCTACTCATCCTTTACCCCTCCAACACCTGCTCGAAACTTACTCTTTGAACTCGCACGAGCCTACGAAGATGAATTTACACTACTGGATCAAAAGGTGGTGACCGATCTCAGTGAAGATGAGCGAGCGAAGATAGAAGGGATTGTGTGTACCGGTGGTTATACCAGAACAGACCACAAGCTGGGAAAAGAGATCATGGACTTGCTACCTAATTTGAAAGTCATTAGCACTCCAAGCATGGGTCTAAATCATATTGACGTGCAGGCAGCAACAGATCGAGGTGTTCGTATTGGCCGAAGTTTGCATCAAATTGACGCTGTTGCGGAATTTGCCTTCGGATTGCTATTGGCATCCGCAAGGTCGATTGTGCTGGCTAATGAGGTTGCCAGAACAACTGTTTTTTCATCAGGCCAAGTGAGTAAGAAAGAAACTATATATTTCGAGTAGGGTGAATCCTACCTTCCATCCCAAGAGTTCAGGTGGATGGACGGGGAAGTTGCAGTGTCATCCTTGTCTGTCACGTGACTTCTCCACCTGTTCTACTGCCAGGAGCGCATCAAGGATCTCATTTATGAGTTTCTGAGGCTAAAAAGGATATCGTAAACGATCTTATAAACGCCCAATTCCAAATAAATGCCTCTTTTCTAATAATCACCCCTTCTATGCTGTTAAAATTGTATTAGACACCCCTCTCTAATAAACACCCCTGTCTGGTAGACACCCCCATAACAATTACCCCAAAATACTAAGAATTAGCAAAAAGAAGCAAAATCATTCAATTCATTCAGTTCCTTGCCCGATTAAAAGCCTTTGCATATTTCATCTTGTTCAATGTCAAGTTCAAAGTAAGGATAGACTAACAATGGCAACACATCAATGTTGGGATTTGAAAGAGCAATATGGATCTCTAGATGGCCTAGGCATATCAATTGATGGGGTGGATATTCCGTAATTTTCTTTATACTTTTGCCCAAAGCATATTAGTTTTGTTGAGCTTGTTACAATTCACCACTCCAGAAAATACCATAACAAACCGTAATGCTTTTTGTTTGTCACCCGAAAATTTTGCATAAGCATTGTCTTCAGTTTCTCTTGGGAGTTAAAATGGCCCCAAGAGAAACTGAAGACAATGCTTATGCAAAATTTTTGGGTGACAAACAAAGAGCATTATGGTATGTTATGGTATTTTCTGGAGTGGTCAATTACGGTATGAGAATAAACGCCTCCCTCTTTTTAACTCCTCCTGTCTATCAAACACTCCCGCTTGGACCGCTACAATTAAAAAGATGCCCTGGGTCTTTATTAGGTGATTTATGATATCTGGTGTTATGAGGGGTAGGGGCAAGAAAAAGGTTAGATACTTGAGATGACAACCTGGATCTAGAAACTGGGACTGATGTTTGGCATTACTACCCACTTAAAATATTAACAACCAACCCCCCCCAATCCCTCCCCACCATGCAATAAAAACCAGTCCCCAAATTATAAGATGGGTGTGGCTTGGGATATTATATGAAGTGTAACATTAGTTACAGACCAGGGCCCAGTTGTTCGAAGGCCGTTTAGCGCTAACCCAGGGTTAAATTTTAACCCAGGTTTCTTTTTCTTTTTTTCAAAAGCATTTTTCAGGCTAATTTTCTCGATTCTTCTTAGAGCATCAAATCATCAGATTGTGGACAAAAAGAATAAAACTGAATTTGTTTCTTCAGCTTTCATATCTAAATTGAAATTTTGCACTAACCCTGGGTTAACTTAACCCTGCTTTGAACAACCCAGCCCAAGTGTGATGCATATGACATGTTTTGATACTTCAAATACTGTTTTGCAAGGTAGAGAAATATAGACAAAATTATTTCTATCAGGCTCATTTACTGCTACCATTTGTGTTTCCAATTTAGCAAAAAATACAAATATTCAAGCCTATACAGCAAGTTACTGGTTCTACTCTGGGCATTATTGGTTTTGGGAATATTGGAAAAGCAGTTGCTGAAAAGGCGAAAGGATTCAACATGAAGATCTTGTATCACTGTCGAACTCCGAAAGAAGATCATGAGAAATACTTAGGTAAACAGACTATTTTTCCTCAGGGATAGTAGAGTAAGCAAAACATGAGCACGCGTGAAATCACCCTACATGAGAAGGGTGGGTGATTTTCATGCACTCTTGCGTTTCGCTCGATCTACTATCCCTGAGGGAAAATGGAGACTATTCATAGTCTATTCAGTAAAGGGTCACCATCATCATCATTTGTCCTCTTGGGACCCAGGCGCTCATGTTGTACAAACAAACGTTTGTCATTCAGGCCTTCTTCTCTATAGGGGGAGGGGGGGAAATGGGTTAATTTTTGGCAGATATATGCTGCTGGCATCTCCAGCCCCTACCCAATTATAGCCTATTCTGTAGTCAAGAAGACCCCATCTCAGTCGCTTTTGAGCAAAAGTATTTTTTGCAGTCCCAACTTACTCACTTTCTGTCACTTTTTAAACCATGAATCTTGTTATTTCGTAATCCCCAATTACCAGAATTTTCTCACCCCCAAAATCCTGAAAATGTGCAAACCCATCATAGTAACTCTGTTGAAAATGCAATCCCATTATAGCCAATCCAGTCGTGAAAATGTGACCCTGTCCAGTTGGCACATCTCCATTAGCCTATTACTAAGAAGTACCCCCTTCCATTCCCTGGGGCCTGATTTTGGCTAACTGAGTAGAAGCCAAAACGTTTACACACAAATGCCAGCTTCTGGAAAAGAATAGCCTGTGTAGCTGGAGGTATTAGCATGGGAGTGATGTATTACTTTGGCAGTGGAGCCACAAAAAGATTGGATACAAGTCAAATTGAAAGACCACCTGCCACAATTCTTGGGTATTTTGAATAGTCCAACAACCAGGCGTACAGGAGTAACCCCCATGGGTATCCCACCAGCTATGCAGGCTAGGCAAAGAAGAGTTTGATCAAACCCTTTTTCTAGCCCCTGTCATGGTTGAATGAACAAGTGGAGGTGGTTAGCTCCCTGCTCAACCCTAGTCTCCCACACAGACAGTCTCAGGGGTTTGCCTAGCATGAACAAGTGACGAACCCCTAAGAACCTCTGCATGAGAGGCTGGCTTGACTGCTGAGGACCATGGCTGGTTTCTTGTACAAGATCAGTTGTCTATCACTGCACCAATCTATCATTATTGACCCTGCCAGGCACCAGAGTGCTAGCCAGCAAGGTCTTTAGGGTCACTGGAACACAAGCCAGTGATTCACCATCACAATAGTCCAAGCTAGTCCAAGGTGAAAATGTTATGAACTCAACAACTATGTAGCTAGAGCAGATAATAAAACTGGTGTAACCCGACACGTCCCCCAAGCAGAGGAGGGACAACAGTCGTCACTCCTCTGCCTCCCCCCGCCCCCAGGGTATTCATTAGAAACAGGGACCTGTGTATCAAGAAGCAGTATATAAATTGTCTAAAATCAAATCAAAATCAAATCACTTCCTATGAATAAACCTGAATGACTACAGAATAACATAGTAACTCAGAAACTCCTGCTGTGCTATTAATATTTGATATGCATTTTAGGTGTTTTATTCTGCCCAGACTTGAAGAAACTGTTGCAAGAGTCAGACTTTGTCATTTTATGCTTGCCATTTACTGATCAAACCAAGCATATCATTTCATCAAAGGAACTTTTTCTTATGAAACCCACAGCCACACTGATTAATGTGGGTCGTGGTGGAACTGTCAATCATGATGACCTGACAGCCGCATTACAGAATGGAGTCATCAGAGGAGCCGCACTGGATGTAACAGAACCAGATAATCTTCCTAAAGACCATCCTCTTTTTACGATGCAAAATGTGATCATCACCCCGCATATCGCTACTTATACAGAGTCCACATTTTTGAAAATGTTTACTACCGTTTTGGATAATTTGAAGGCTGGAATTAAAGGCAAAGATTTACCCTCTCCAGTATAGTAATAAGTCGGTCATCAGTTAGTTGTATGCAATGTTTGCCCTCATTGTATTCCCTTGCAAAATTTTGGGTGTCTTTTATTAATGTCAGGACTGGGGCACAAGTAAAGAAGGACCTACATTTGTTCATAAAAGAGGAAATAAATTTCCTTGTTTACACTTACCTGTACTATTTGATTTTCTGAAGCTTACAATTGTCATCCGGTTAGGGTTTCTGTCAATGGTCACTATTCCTTTGCCTGTTAAAGTTTACTACCATTTTAAGGCATGACTCATGTTCAGCAGCTTGCATTAGAGGTGTGGCTCATCACAGCTTGCCCAAGTCATTCAAACTTGGTGGAGAGATTTATCAGAAACAATAATCCCCAACAAGCTTCTTTTTTGGACTTTTTTTATTTCAAGGAAGGTTTTTAACAAGCTATGGTTCCAAAGCTCATGGTGGTGAAATACGTCTGCTATTTCTATGTGTAACCATGTGGGGGGCTACTCCATTTAATGGCTTATATGGGGAGGCTCCGCCCAAAAGGGTTACTTTTTACAGGCTTCAGGTACACGAAAGGGTAAGGATTTCACTATTTGAAGTAATGAAAGGGTAGGGAAATCTGTCATTGCGGTATATGAAAGGACCTAAAAGGGCTAACAAGAGTTTCTGGCTGTCAAAAAAAAAAAGACAAGAAAACTTCCTGATTTAGTGATTTACATGAATGGGCTCCTCTGATTTAGTCATAGTTAATAGATGGTGCATTTACACATTTTAGGGATGCAGTGTTCTATTTACTGTGTGAAAGGGGTACCATTTGCCAATTAAAGATATACGAGAAGAGTACCTTTTCTGTCGAAAATGGTATATAAAAGGGTAAGGGTTTGGACCTTGAATCGGGTATAAAATTTTGTTGACCACTTGGGGTGTCTATAAACTCATTGGCATGAGCAAGATCCTATGGGCTCCTGGGCCCGGTTGCATAAAACCTACACTTAAGTGCCCACTTAAGTAGATAACGTGAAGAAAAACACTTTTTTTCACTTCTCAGTAAAAGATCTCCTCAAGTTTAGTAAAAACAGTAACGATACGGGACCTCGTAAATTTACGTGCCATTTTTCCCGTAAAAAAGGTTTTATGCAACACCCGCAATTTCTGTTGCATAAACGACACTTAAGTGAACACTTATAAAAATCGTAAGTGCAACCACTTAAGTGAATTCCCTAAGTGGACTACTTAAGTAATTTAATGCAACTGACTTAAGTTACGAGTGCACGTACGCGTACCCGTAGTTGTTACTGGCGCTTTATGCAACCGGGCCCTGGCATGAGCAATGAACATCGTGTAAAGAGACTTATCAGACAATGCCATCACCTAAACATCGAAACTTTTGTTTATTGAATTCGTTGCGTTTACTTAGTCAGATTATTATAGAACTGGTGTTGTTACTCTACCCGATAAAACATAACTTCGGAAATACTGGTGAACTCCATTGGAAGATCTGTAAGGAATATAAAAATTAAAATCAGGCGACAATTCAGATACACTGAACAATAACAGCAAGGTAGGTTGAGCACGGTGCTATCATCCGTGTTCTACGGTAGATCCACCAAGGTTTCCGATTCTGAGAAAGTTCCGCACTTATTTTGCAGACATTTTGCGTGTTCCGGTTAGTCGTGACAATTCGGTGCGCTTGGGTTACCTGTGGCTGGAGAGAGGAACGCAATGTTGCGTGAGACTAGAATTCCTAAAGAAACGTTATTTTTTTGTCTCTTCTGGTGTCGACATGTTTGTCATTGTATCAGTATTGTGAAAAAAGGGGAAAAAAGAATAAGGCTCACATAATAAAAGCGATGTAATTCATTTGATACAAGGACAGAAAACATGAACATTGTCGCTAAGAAATCTGGGTACCGGAAGTTAGCCATAAGTGTCACGCACGTTTGTGCTTCTGCTTCTGCCTGAAGAACTCAACCGAGCCGAAACGATGGCTTCACGTCCCGTTGTGTTATGCTACTCTTCCTTTACCTCTCCAGTACCGGCCTTTGACTTGTTCTTCGAACTCGCACCAGCCTACGAAGGCGATTTTACACTACTGGATGAAGTAGCCGTGACCGATCTCAGTGAAGATGAACGAGCAAAGATAGAAGGGATATTAGTCTCTACCGGGGCAATTAACCGTACTCACCGTAAGGTGGGAAAAGAGATCATAAACTTGCTACCAAATTTAAAGGTCATTAGCACTCCAAGCACGGGTATAAATCACATTGACGTACAAGCAGCCACAGATCGTGGTATTCGTGTAGGCCGAAGTCCTGGGCATTTTCCAAGTGACGCTGTGGCCGAATTTGCTTTCGGATTGTTATTGGCGTCTGCGAGGTCGATTGTGCTGGCTAATGAGATCGCTAGAACGACTGTTTTCTCATCAGGCCAGGTAAGTAAGCAATAACTTTAACTGAAACCGGTATACGTTATGGGGCGCCCAATGTAAAAATATTATTTAGGCAATATTTTTCTAATTTTTGTGCCCTGGGTAAAATATTAAAGATACAAGCGCTAGCTTGATCCGCGCGAAGACGGTCCTGAAAAGTGGACGAGTGGTGGATGATACCTCAAGGGGAGTATTTTAGTGGGGAAATAAAAGCATAATGTACAAAAAGGGGGTTGCAAAGTTATCTTCTTATGTCTTTTACATTTATAAAGAAGGTAGACTTTCAGTTCCATTGATTAACTGAGAGGGGTGCATGTAGGAATTGATTTGGGGGAGTCTCCAGGGTTAAAAAAGAGATCTGGAGTTACTAAAGGGTAGGGGCTCCACATGGGGGTGTATTAAATACTGACGGACCCCACTCCAAGATCTGAAAATGAAAAGATATTCTGCTACTGCTAGCTCTCTCCCTTGACCTGCTTGTAATTGCCTTCTTTTCTCCACCACAGTGTGTATGCAGTGTATGCTCTGCACGAATGCCTGCCCTGAGAGCTTGTTTCCCATGGGAGGGGAGCTACTTAACAAAGTTTTTTACAATTTTTGACGTAAAAGGTACCCCTTTTCATTTAACATCCACTTAAAAATGGTACCCTTTTAACATAGCTTCTTAATTGAAATAGATAAAAAGCTAAGCTAACAATATATAATTATTGCTAGAGCACAGTTCTTTTGTGAACGAAGCAGTCCTTCGCTGCACTGCAACGAAACTGACAGACTGAGCAAGATGTTCATACTATTGTGAGAAAAAAAAAGGCAAACCTTATACTAGTGCCAAGTAACTATTCTCCTATAATGGTGGGCTTACTTTTGGAAAGTTTTATCTTGGTGATGTGTGCTTTCCTAATGTGCTTGTTGTGCCCTCTTTCCAGCCCATGCACATCTTGGTTATGTTAATCTCAATGGCTGTATTTATACATGACGACTTCTAAGATTTCTGCGTAAATTGAACATGTGGATGTTATGCAAATTCATCTGCTACAAGGCAAACAAATGGGATGCTTAACTTTCCACAGTAAGACCAATATGTAATTATGGGAAACTTCCTACACCAATAATAATGATAATAAAACAAGATTATGACAATTAAAAGCAATATTATTGTTTTTATATCAAGCCCTTATTACTGAAACGTTACCACTTGACTGTTTGCAATTAGCAAAAAATAGGAATGTTCAGCCCTATACAGCAAGTTACTGGTTCTACTCTGGGCATTATTGGTTTTGGGAATATTGGAAAAGCAGTTGCTGAAAAAGCAAAAGGATTCAAAATGGAGATCTTGTACTACAGTCGCACTCGGAAAGAGGATCAAGAGAAACACTTAGGTAAAATTTTTTGTGACCATCATCATTCTATGTCATTTCCATGCCCAGTGGTGCATAGGGTACAGACAAAAGTTTGTCATTTAGACCTTCTTTTGGCTTCTGAATATTAGCTCTTCTCAACCTAACCTCCAGCTCCTGGCAAAGAGGAGTTTTCCTGGAAACCGTTCGATTCGATACCAAGTTGTTTCAATACAAGTCATTTCGATACAAACTAAAGCATTGCAATTGTAGTAAAATTTAGACCACTTCAAGTATACCGTATTTTCTCGAATAATAGCCATCCCTTGATTTGATTAATCGGCTCCCTCGAATAATCGCCCCCCTTTGATGAAAATATTTAAAATAATCGCAGCCCCCCCCCCCCGCCCCTCTCACTCTCGTCTCTTCCTTTTATCCCCTTCGCCCTGTCAAAAATAACCTGAAAGAAACTTGGAAACTAATCAATGATGTAATCAACAAACCGAGCAGAAAAGCAGCTCTGCCAAATTCCTTTTTCTCTGATGGAAAACTGTTAAATGATCCACAAGAAATAGCTAACTGCTTTTGTAAGTTCTTCACCAACATAGGTCCGAATTTAGCAAGGAAAATTCCAGACACACAAGTATCTTTTCGTAGTTTTCTTGGCGTTTCTGTTAATGAGTCGCTTATCTTAAATCCAACTAATATTTCGGAACTAAATCAAATATGCAACTCTTTTAAATCTGGAAAGTCGCCTGGATATGATAACGTTTCAATGGATATAATAAAAGCACCTTTGATCTCATTTCTCAGCCTTTGGCCAATGTAATCAATTTGTCTCTTATTAAAGGAGTATTTCCTGATGAACTGAAAATTGCTAAACTGATTCCGGTATTTAAAGCTGGTGATTCCCAGTATTTCACTAACTACCGTCCAATTTCGCTTCTTTTCTAATTTTTCTAAATTCTTTGAAAGAGTTATGCACAATCGTATTACAAATTTTTTAGATCGTTTAGATATCTTATACTGTTGCCAATTTGGATTTCGTAAAAAATATTCTACAGCGCTGTCTTTAATTCATCTTATTAATAAAATTGCAACTGCTATTGACAGAAGCGAATATACAGTTGGCATATTCTTAGACTTATCAAAAGCATTTGATACTTTAGACCATCAAATACTCTTGTCTAAGCTTGAGCATTATGGGATTCATGGGCTAGCACTTAGCTGGTTGAAAAGCTATTTGTCAAATCGCGTGCAGTTCGTCCAGTACAGAGAGACTTGTTCTATTAGGCTGACTCTGAGCTGTGGAGTCCCTCAAGGTTCTATATTAGGACCATTATTGTTTGTTTTGTATATCAATGACCTCCCTTGTGCTACTCGTCTTGCTGAAACTATGCTTTTTGCAGATGATACTAGTGTGTTTTATTCTAATCCCGATTTAAATTGTGCTATTTCTGCCGTAAATAATGATTTATCTCAAATTGATCTTTTTATGAAAGCAAATAAGCTCTCTGTTAACATAACGAAAACTAATTATATCATTTTTGCAGCAAGGCAAAACCAGTCGGCTTCCCAATAAATCCTGTCTTGTACGATGAGGTTTTATTAAAACAAGTAAAGGTAGTTAAATTTTTAGGGGTTTTTATCGACGAGCATCTAACGTGGAAGCCGCATATTACTTATATATGTAAGAAAATTTCAAAATCTATTGGCGTCATGTTTAGGTCTCGTTTCTTTCTTTCTGAAACAACAAAAAAGTCTCTTTATTATACCTTAATTTATCCTTATTTAACATATTGTACCACAGTTTGGTCCTCCACTTATGTAACAAACCTTAATAGAATTTTTTTCTTCTACAAAAGCGAGCAGTACGAATTATTACAAATGCAGATTTTCGCGCGCACTCTGAACCATTATTTTTCCGTTTAAAGATTTTGGACATATACAACATTAATTCATTCTATACTGCACAATTTATGTTTTCATATTATCATCAATTACTGCCACCGCTTTTTTCGAACCTTTTTGTTACTAGTAGCAATATTCATAATTATAATACTAGAAGTTCCTCGCATTTCCGTTCTCATGCCTGCCGAACTAACACCAAACAATTTTCTATTTTGTTCCAAGGCCCTAAAATTTGGAATTCTTTACCAAACTCAGTCACTTCGATTTTTACATTGCAATCGTTTAAAACGAAAGTTTTTGATTTTCTACTATATCGATAATGCGTCTTGTACTGTCCGTTGTTGTGTGTTGTTATAGTTCTATTGCTTAATATTATTGTAACGAGGGGGCCTCCTCGTACAAGCCTTGTGGTTTTCTGAGGTCCCCTCGCCACATCTTTGTATAATGTAATGCTTGTGTAATCTTTATTGTGGGAAAATAATAAATAAATAAATAAATAAAGTTGAAGTGGAATGAGATTCAGCAAAACTGACCAGTGACGATTCAAACTCAGAAAATTAATCAAGGAACTAAATTTGGAACACTTAGAAAGCCCATGTTCAGTTTATTTGTTGTGATTATTTTCTATTTTTGTGGGAAAATAAAATGATATATTTAGGGCACGACTTCCAGTGAGCAATATTTGAAATAATCACCTCCCTCGAATAATCGCCCCCTTTTTGTGCGAAAAAAGAAATAATCGCCCTCCGTTACTATTCGAGAAAATACGGTAGTTTGCATGTGAACAAGAAAAACAGTTGGGGTGAATATTCTTCCTTTTCAAAGCCAAGTAGATGAAACTTTTTACGCCTCGACTGAATAAACTTGTCTCAAAACCACTTGTATTGAAACAACCAGTAACTGTTTTCTGAACCTTCCTTTCAGCCCCTGACATGGCTGAATGTCTTGTTCACATTACAAAAACAGGTGGTTCGCCCCCAGCTCAACCCCAATCCTGAAGGAACTGGGAAGGGGTGTATGGAGTAAGGCCCTAAAAGACCCCTGATTGGATGTTAAATTCTCCCTTTGGTTTCCAAACATACACAAGGAAAAGTGGAAGGAGAATTTAGTAGTTAGCTGTCTGAAGTCACCCGCAGCCTTTTCCCTGGCAATCTTTTATTTAACAATGAATGTGGCTCTGATTAAAACCTTTACTTAGCTCAGATGATCTTGTTATTGACTGATGATGATGTTAACTTACTATTCAGCTCGTTTACTTCAACCTTCCTTATTAATTTGAAAGGGACATAAAAGAACCCACAGTTCTGTTAAAAAAGAGCAGGGAAGTAGTAGGTAGACTGTTATTGGTGCATAGTAATTGCCTTTATGCTGTTGCTGTTACCTAGACAATGTTTGGCCAAGCAAAACAAAATTAAATAAGAAGTATATGATTGTAAAACGTTAAATAGACCACTTCATACAACTAAAACAAAACAGGTCCAAAATAATATAGTTAAAAAATAATAATTATTGTTGTGCCATTATTACTTTTGGTATGCATTTTAGGTGTTTCATTCTGCCCAGACTTGAAGAAACTTTTGCAAGAGTCAGACTTTGTCATTTTATGCTTGCCATATACTGATCAAACCAAGCATATCATTTCATCAAAGGAACTATGTCTTATGAAACCCACAGCCACACTGATTAATGTGGGTCGTGGGGGAACTGTCAATCATGATGACCTGAAAGCCGCATTACAAAATGGAGTCATCAGAGGTGCCGCACTGGATGTTACAGAGCCAGATAGTCTTCCGAAAGACCATCCTCTTTTTACAATGCAAAATGTGATCATCACCCCACATATCGCTTTTTATACAGAGACTTCATTGGTAAAAATGTTAACATCTGCTTTGGATAATTTAAGGGCAGGAGGTGAAGAATTACCTTATCCTGTGAATTAAATCAATTAAATATTAATATTATTAGTTAGTTAATACATGCAAATATCTTTATAACTATTGGATCTTCCTTTTTGGTCCCCTTTTTTCATATCTGGAGCGCAAAAAGGTATAAAAAAGTTAGTTCTATCATAAGTGAATGTTCAGCTGTTGACAATTTTTTATGCAACAAGAACGCGCTTACAGCGGCCGTCAGTCTCGCCTGCGTGGAGATTAGATCGAGAAATGAGGAGGCGATTAATTCTACAATAAACATGATTTACTCGCTAAAGGTTTTTTATTTGCTACTTTATCGACGTCGATACTTTTTATTTGTTTCTGAATTGATTTAGTACGCGTGTTAGCGACGACCAGAAATACCTCTGCGGTAGCAGGCTATACGCGTATACAAATACATCAAAATTCAAGGGCCTCGATTCCAGAGAAATTACATCATTGTCTGATATCCAGAAAGGAAAAGTGGTTTATATGGCACGTCATTTCAATCATCGCCGAAAATAAATCGCATGCTCATCACAAGATCCATTTGCATACAGTGACAAGCTGTTACGGCACGTACACCGTAGTTGGCGTAAAGATTAAAAGGGAAACGGTCTGATCGCCAAATGATGAAAAAGTAGCTAATTCTTCTAAAACACATACCTAATTCAAGACACGCGACCATCGCAATTTTGCTAATTAAGATTCTTATTTTTTTTCGACCACTCAGTAGTGTTCACTTGTTCCAAAGTAATCAACGCTTTCAAGTGATAGAATTCGTGGACCGACACGTTTCGGAAAAGCTCTAAATTTAATCTTTCCTAAGCTTTCTTCGCAAACATCTCGCAACGATTCTTAGTCCCAGTTTCCACGGTCTCCGCAAGGAACGCCTGGCACAAAGACCTCTCTTTTGTGTCCTAAATACGACCAAAAATTCCGGGGGGTACTTCTAGAAAAATTGGGTGGGGGTATGCGGCATTCTTCCGGAAACCCTTACCCTATTTCGGACCAAAATCTGTGATTTTGCCTACCCTATTTCTAAACCTGATCAAAAATTTGATATCCTATTTCAGACCTGAAGCCCTGGCGCCCGGCGCGTGACCGGAGCGAGTGAAAAGCTTTTACGGCACGTACACGGTAGTTGACGTAAACATTAAAAGGGAAATGTCCTTATCGCCTAATGATGAAGAAGTAGCTAATTCTTCTAAAAAACATACCCAATTCAAGACTAGAAAGCACAAACCATACCCTATTTCAGACCAAAACGGCTAAAAAAAAAACATACCCTTTGGCGCCGCACATACCTATATAGCCTATATAAGGGACTGCCCCGCCGGGGCGAAAAACACGTTGCAGATTATGAGTCTCGCTGCTTACGCATGCGAGACTAATAAGAAACAAATGTATACTACAGGGCTGGGCTAGGGCTGTTCAAAGCTGGCCAGCATGTGTTAAGATAGCCCAGGCTCCACCTTTTTAACCTCCTTTTCAGGGTGTTATTTTTGTATCTTTTTTTTTTATGATACCTTAAGAAAAGTATGTATGTTTTTTTATATATGAGAGGTGTCACGCTATTAACCTCGTTCTCACGTTCTCATATGAACTCAAGCTACAGATCGAGGTGTTCGTATTGGCCGAAGTTTGCATCAAATTGACGCTGTTGCCGAATTTGCTTTTGGATTGCTATTGGCATCCGCGAGGTCGATTGTGCTGGCTTATGAACAACTGTTTTTTCATCTGGCCAAGTTAGTAAGCAAAAACTAGTATGATGAATCCTACCTTCCTTTAGATGAGATCGGGTGGACGGGGAAGTTCCAGAGTCATCCTCCTTTGTCACGTGACTTCTCCACCTGTTTTACTGCGAGGGCGCATCTAGGATTTCATTTGGGAGTTTCTGAGGTTAAAAAGGATATGTGGAGTAATGAGGGGCAGGGGCAAGAAACAGGTCGAGCAGATACTTCAGATGACAACCTTGCTCTAAAATCTGGAGTCTATTTTTTTGCATTACTACCCCCTTTAATGTAAACAGCAATCCCCCAACCCCACCCCCCTTAAATAAACAAATTGACCCAATCCCTTAATTTTTTGGTTCCAAAACTCATGGTGGTGAAATATGTCTGCTATTTCTATGTGTAACCCTGTTGGGGGCTACTCCCTATAATGGCTTATACAGGGAGGCTTTGCCCGAAAGGGTTACTTTTTTCAGGCTTCAGGTACATGAAACTAGGCAGGGATGTCACTATTTGAAGTAACGAAAGGGTAGGGAAATCCGTCATTGCGGTATATGAAAGGACCTAAAGGGTTAAAAAGAGTTTATGGCTGTCAAAAAAAAACCAAGAAAACTTCCTGATTTAGTGATTTCCATGAATGGGCTCCTCTAATTTATAGAGCTCATTAAATGTAATAGAGACAGTGTACGAAAAGCTAGAGAAGCATACCTCATCGAGAGAGGTAAAACTCTTGAACCATTAGGTATGAATAAGAAAGATGAAATGTAATACAGTCTTTATTTCTTCTATTTGTTATCATTTATTTATACTACAGTGGAACCCCGTTAATACGGTCGCCAATGGGGCAAAAAAAATTGGCCGTATAAACTGGGTGGCCGTATTAACGAGGGGTTTTTTTATGTATGGCCATAATGCCAGGCGGCCAAAAAAAAGTGGTCGCAATAACGAGGTGACCGTATTACTGAGGTGGCCGTAAGGCGGGGTTTCACTGTATTTTTACATTTCAAATTTCTTTCCTATCACTACTTCAACGGTTTTTGTTTTCAACGTTCACTTTTTTCTCATTTAAATTTTCACTTGTTATTATAGTATCATATTGCACGCTATTCTTTAAGTTTTAAATTGTAACGTCTTATCTTAGCCTCTTCATTATATGTAAGACCCTGAAGAAGGAAGGTCGTGCCTTTCGAAATATTGGTAAATATATATATTTAATATTCCCGACTGTAAAATCAGCCTTGCTTCTTTTGTTTTATACCCTCTGATTTAGTCATATTTACAGACGGTGCATTTAGGGATGCAGTGTTCTATTTACTGTGTGAATGGGATACCATTTGCCAATAAAAGATATACGAAAAGAGTACCTTTTCTGTCAAAGATGGTATATAAAAGGGTGACGGTTTGGACCTCGGGGCCAAGCCATCGCGTATAAAATTCTGTTAACCACTGGGGGTGTCTAACTCTGCCAACTCTTTAGCATGAGCAAGAGCAATGAACATTGTAACGAGATTTATCAGACAACGCTATCACCTAAACATTGAACTTTGATTTATTGAATTCGTTGCGTTTTTAACGTGCGTTTACTCAGTCAGATCATTATAGAACTCGTGTCGTTACTCTACCCGATAAAACACAACTTTCGGAAATAACTCCATTTGAAGATCTGTAAGGAGTATAAATATTAAAATCAGGCGACAATTCAGATACACTGAACAATAACAGCAAGGTAGGTTGAGCACGGTGCTATTATCCGTGTTCTACGGCAGATCCACCGAGGTTTCCGATTCTGAGAAAGTTTCGCACTTATTTTACAGACATTGTGCGTGTTCGCATTCGTGAGTCGTGATAATGCGGTGCGCTTAGGTTACCAGTGGCTGGAGTGTGGAACGCAATATTGCGTGAAACTAGAATTCCTATTAAACGTTGAATTTTACCTGGTGTCGACACGTTTGTCGTTGTATCTATATTATGAAAAAAAAAAAAAAAAAAAGAATAAAGGAGAATAAGGCACACATAATAAAAGCGATGCAAGTCATCACAAGGAAAGAAAACATGTACATTGTCGCTAAGAAACCTGGGTACCGGAAGTTACCCATTAGTGTCACGCACGTTTCTGCTTCTTCTTGCAGAACTCAACTTGCACCGATCGGAAACGATGGCTTCACGTCCTGTTGTGTTATGCTACTCTTCCTTTAACCCTCCAAGACCTGCCTTTGACGCGCTCTTCGAACTCGCACCAGCCTACGAAAACGATTTTACCCTACTAGATCAAGTGGCGGTAGCTGATCTGAAGGAAGATGAGCGAGCGAAGATAGAAGGGATAATCTGTACCTGGTGGTTATGCCCGAACAGACCACAAGCTGGGAAAAGAGATCATGTCCTTGCTACCTAATTTGAAAGTCATTAGCACACCAAGCACGGGTATAAATCATATTGACGTGCAGGCAGCCATAGATCGTGGTGTTCGTGTAGGCCGAAGTCCTGGGCATTTTCAAGGTGACGCTGTCGCTGAATTTGCTTTCGGATTGCTATTGGCGTCTGCGAGGTTGATTGTGCTGGCTAATGAGGTCGCCAAAACAACTGTTTTTTCATCAGGCCAAGTGAGTAAACAAGAACTTATACGTATTCTGGGATGCTTAATTAGAACCCTACCTCCCTTCGCGACAATATTATTTTATACTTTTCCGTAGTAGTTTTTAGCGTCGTCACGAAAACGCGGGTGAAGCGTTGCGTGACGACACTAAAAACGGCTGTGTACAAATGATATGGGAGACCACATTAACCGCTACTATTTGTGCTTTCAATTTAGCAAAAAATAGGAGTGTTCAGTCCTATACAGCAAGTTACTGGTTCTACTCTGGGCATTATTGGTTTTGGAAGTATTGGAAAAGCAGTTGCTGAAAAGGCAAAAGGATTCAACATGAAAATCTTGTATTACAGTCGAACTCGGAAAGAAGACCAAGAAAAATGCTTAGGTAAAGTCAGTCAAGTGTGACCTTCATATGAATCGTATGTTTTCTCAGGAAGAGCAGGAACAAATGTTGTTCATTCAGGCATTCCATAAGAGTCTTATGGGTATCTGAATAACAGTCCCCTACCTTAGAGTAGTTTACAGGGCTGCCAACTCTCCCGGATAATCAGGGAGACTCCAGATTTTGAACCTGTCTCCAGTTTAGAGTCTGAAATCTCCCGGATAATCGCCGAGGTTTGCCATTTCTTGTAGACTCGACTTTCTAACAATGAAATTTCACATATTTTGCTTTATTTGAGCTATTTTACTGTTAACATCGAACGTTTCCTCACAAACTCCGTTATGCCGTTGTAATATAGGCTTGGATAAATTCTGCTCGTAAAATGGGACCAAACGAACTCTCCGTAATAGAGAGGTGTCCGTATTATAGAGGTGTCCGTAAGGAGAGGTTAGACTGTACAAGCAATGATGTGATTGGTAGGAAGTAAACCAATTAGGTCAAATGTTGCAGTTCCAACAACATCTTTTTTGCGTGTTTTTCCCATACCATTAACTTTTGGTATGCATTTTAGGTGTTTCATTCTGCCCAGACTTGAAGAAACTGTTGCAAGAGTCAGACTTTGTCATTTTATGCTTGCCATATACTGATCAAACCAAGCATATCATTTCATCTAAGGAACTTTGTCTTATGAAACCCACAGCCACACTGATTAATGTGGGTCGTGGTGGAACTGTCAATCATGATGATCTGACAGCCGCATTACGGAATGGAGTCATCAAAGGTGCTGCATTGGATGTAACAGAACCAGATAATCTTCCCAAAGACCATCCTCTTTTTAATATGCAAAATGTGATCATCACCCCACATATTGCTTCTTATACAGAGTCCACATTTTTGAAAGTGTTTACCACCGCTATGGATAATTTAAAGGCCGGAATTAAGGGTGAAGAATTACCTTATCCAGTATAATACGTCAATCACCAGTTAGCCGTATGAAACGGTTATCCCTGGCTACTGTATCCACAAGCAAAATTTTCGGTGTATTTGGAAAAAAAAACATAGCTACAAGCTTGGACAGGATAAAATGGAAATGATCCGAACAGAAACAAAAGTTACTATTACCTCGAGTTAGCGTGAAGTTCGAGTCAGTAGCGAGGGTTCGAGTTATGGGAGTCGACTGTATACATGTATATCCTTTTTCAAAGATTTTTCTCGTTTTAGAATATTCCATATACTCCGTGTTTTTTTTTAGAGTATTCTGTAAATTCCGTGTTTTAGTATATTCCATATTGTAGAGTATTCCGTTTCGTCATTCCGTCAGTCCACCATTCCACCCAATAGGGTCACCCATAATACCCTTTTTTCATATACAGTCGAACCACGCTATTTCGAACTCGGTTAATTCGAAGTCCCCGCTATTTCGAAGGAAGATCGAATATTTACCCTTATGTTTTCAGTCATTTACTATCAGCTATTTCGAACTCGGTTATTTCGAATTCCCCGCTATTTCGAACTCATCGTTCTTTCCCTACACCTTAAATCAACCCCGTTATTTCGAACTTGTCAAAAACAGAGCGTGCAGTGTCCCGCTAAGAAATTCCAGCTGTGTTATTCAATTACAAAACAAAACGCACCGTTGGTGAACTGTTCTTCCGGCTGAAATACTCATGTGTGAACTCTGAATTACTGTATTTTTATTTAATCAGTGTCTTTCTTCATAGTGTACTGTATTTTATTAAAATATGATTCATTGTTACGAATTTTACGCTTCCCCGGTTATTTCGAAACCCGGCTATTTCGAACTTTTTTCCATTTCCCTTGGGACTTCGAAACAGCGGGGTTCAACTGTACATAAGCCCGCGAAATTAAGTATCCTCGAAATTAAGTACCAAAATTAAGGTATATGTAAACGGATTTATCGGCAAAACATTTGGAGGTTGAGTAATGTTTACTGAATTCGTTGCTCATTTGTCTTTTTTTCGCGTTTTAATACTCAGTCAGATTATTATAAAAGTCCATGAGTGACTGCACCCGAAAATAGCATGACTTGCCACTATAACTCCATTTGAAGATCTGTAAGGAATACTTTAAGAACGTCGGATACTTTATAGCTGAATCATTGACAATTCAGATACGCTAACCAATACCAGCCGTGTACGGAAGGTCCACAAAGGCTTTCGATTCCGAGGAAGGTCCTCACGTATTTTATAACGAGGCTGTGAGTGTCTGCTGCTGCATCGAGTCGTGACAGAGTCGTGTGTTAGGGGTTCCTGGTCCAGAACCTGTGGCCGGAGTGTGAAATGCACTGCTGCGTTTCATTAAGAGATGGTGAATATTTGATCTGGTGTCGATATGTCATTTCTTTCATTGTATTTCTATTGTGAACATGACCGCAAAATGAACATGACCGCCAAGAAGTCTGGGTACCGGAAATTAATATTCATGAAGTGTCACGCACGTTTCTCTGTCTGCTGCAGAACTTTACTTTCGCGGAGCCGGAACGGTGGCTTTACGTCCCGTTATGTTATGCTACTCTTCCTTTACCCCTCCAACACCTGCCTGTAACGTGCTCTTTGAACTTGCACCAGCTTACGAAGGCGATTTTACACTTCTAGATCAAGTGTCAGTGACCGATCTGAATGAAGCTGAACGAGCAAAGATAGAAGGCATAGTCTGCACCGGTGGTTATGCCCGAACAGACCACAAGTTGGGAAAAGAGACTATGGACTTGCTACCTAATTTGAAAGTCATTAGCACCCCAAGCACGGGTATAAATCATATTGACGTGCAGGCAGCTACAGATCGTGGTGTTCGTGTGGGCCGAAGTCCTGGGCATTTTCAAGGTGACGCTGTCGCTGAATTTGCTTTTGGATTGCTATTGGCGTCTGCGAGGTCGATTGTGCTTGCTACTAAGGTCGCTAGAACACCTGTTGTTTCATCCGACCAAGTGAGCACAACGCACATATTTATTTTTAGTATACTGATACAGTATGTTGAATCCTTCGAGATCGGGGTGGTGGGCTGGGTGGGGGGAAGGGAGGGAGGGGGTGGAGAGTGCTCTTGCTCTGTCTAGAAGCATGTCTGCAATATCTTTAATAGAGATGGCTAGGTCATCGGGGCATATCTCCAGTTTTATCATGCATACCGTAAAGTGCCACCTATAAGCTCCCCCCAATTATAGGTTCATCTACCTGTATGTTAGCCTGCGAACAGCAGACACATTTCCGGTCGTCGCTTCTCTCCCTCCGAAAAATAGCTATTTTTGGAGGGAGAGAGGCGATGACCGGAAATGCGTCTGCTGTTTGCAGGCTACCTGTATGTATTATGATGTTTTGAAGCTTAATTAAAAACTGGTAAATAATAATAATAATAAATACTTTATTTTATACTGCAAAAAAATAGATCAGCTGAGATTAAAAAAACAGCGGTATAAACCTTTGTGCAGTAATAAAATATTTCAAGATTAAAGAAAAACGATAGTATGTAGTAAAAAAGTGGAAAGACTAATATTTACAATAAAAAAAGGTGTTAAAAATTGAAGTGAATTAATCTACAGTCTACATTTATGCTGTGTTTTGTCTTATTCTTGCAAATACTTAAATGTCTTTCTTTTAAAAGATCCTAATGGTGGGCCATCAACAATTTGTCTACTGTCATACCGAGGTGCTTAGAGGATCTCTTCTGCTCTAGAAGCGAATCACCATAAGATATACAAACATCTCTGGCCGTTTTGACTGCCCTGTGTGATGCTGATCACAATGTATTTTGATCAGCACTGCTGTAGCTTGTGTGGAAGTGTTTTGTCTATTCCAGCTATAACCTCTGTTGGATATAAGCCCCTCCCTTTATAAGCCCCCCTAAAACTTTTTAACAAAGATATATAAGCCCAGGGCTTATAATGGGACTGTTTGTGGTCGTAACCAATCCAAGGTTTGTTAAAAAGACAATGTGCAGTGGAGTAAAGAAGGCCAGTAGAAGCAGGTGAAGGGAGCGAGCACTAACAAAACATCACATCTTCACTTTCTGATCATCTACGTCCACAAATATAATATACGACGGTTCCCCATATTTACATAGATATGGTTTTCTGGAGCTCACAGCATTGACATGAAGCTGGAGCTCTAAAAAGTGTTGCCTGGTTGGTAGATGACCACAAACCTTAAGGGACAGAAGAAAGAGGCTGTTGTAGAGAGGTTTAAAAAAGAGTGAATGTATAGACTGTCCACCAAAAAAAGTGGCTGTTGTATAGAGGTGGCTGTTAGTGGAGGATCGATTGTAATCTAAAAGCAGTTAAAGCAGCACTGAGCATTCACACCCAATTGATGCCAGCTGTATCTGCACCTCTTTAATTTGGGAGGTCAATGGATACTCTCCTGAAAACTGACTCTTTTTTGAGGATTGATTTCTGGACTTCAAAAGAGTTTTTTTTCTTGTTCTGTCATGGCAATATAAATATTTACTACAATATTGTTATAATTATTGATTTTTATTTTCTATCTGGCATTTAACTGATACTGTCATGTTTTTTTCAATTTAGCAAAAAATACAAACATTCAAACCTATACAGCAAGTCACTGGTTCTACTCTTGGCATTATTGGTTTTGGGAATATTGGACAAGGAGTTGCTAAAAAGGCAAAAGGATTCAAGATGAAAATCTTGTATCACAGTCGTACTAGGAAAGGAGATCAAGAGAAATGCTTAGGTAAGGATTGATGAGACAGTACTTTGAAAAACTCTAACTACAGTTGAACCTCCATGAGTGACCACCTCTCGTAAGCAACCACCTCCAATAAGCGACCACCAATCCAAAACTCAGTCAAAGCCTTATAGATGGAACCTCTAGTAAATGACCACCTCCTGTAAGCGACCACAACGACTTTTTGAGCGTGATGGTTAACGATTATCCATTGTTTTTAACCTCTTGTAAGCGACCACTTCATGCATTCTTTGATCTCTATGTTCCCTGTGTGCACTATGCTACTTAGAATATACGAAGAACTTTAGTGACAACATGGAACTACACATTGCACGCAATAAATTGTCTTCCATAAAGTAAATGTGCCTGGACCTCTTCTCGTTAGAGGCCCCCTGTGGTTTGATTCTTGTAAACGACCACCTCCCGTAAGCAACCAGCCAGTCTTTGCATTTTGGGTGGTAGCTTACGGGAGGTTCGACTGCGTTACACAGCTGGTAGTAGGGGAGGGCATAGGGTACACATGAACCCCTTATGACAGGGAAATACCCTCCTTATATGTAAAGAAAATGTATTATTTGCTGCGGCATTTAACAACAACAATTACATAATAATAAGGATTTTAAGTGAGTAAATGATTCACTTCATATGAATAGAACTTTATGAGCCCAAAATAGAATTAAACTTTTGATGTGTATCATTTTTTAAATAGGTGTTTCATTCTGCCCAGACTTGAAGAAACTGTTGCAAGAGTCAGACTTCGTCATTTTATGCTTGCCATATACTGATCAAACCAAGCATATCATTTCATCAAAGGAACTTTGTCTTATGAAACCCACAGCCACACTGATTAATGTGGGTCGTGGTGGAACTGTCAATCATGATGACCTGACAGCAGCACTACGGAATGGAGTCATTAGAGGAGCTGCACTGGATGTTACAGAGCCAACTGATCTTCCTAAAGACCATCCTCTTTTTAAAATGCCAAATGTGATCATCACCCCACATATTGCTTTTTACACAGAGACTTCACATACAAAACTGTATTCTTGTACATTGGATAATTTGAAAGCTGGAATCAAAGGCAAAGAATTGCCTTATCCAGTGAATAATGTCAGTCATTAATTAGTTAGAGACTTCTATGCCTATTGTATCGCCCTTTCTGGTGCCCTTTCTGGGGGCACAAGCAAAAAAAGGTATGTAGTTCATTCATAAGAGAATACATATCTCTTTGTTTTGACTAAATCTCCACTTGTGGGGCACACCATCTTTCATGACAGCTTCCTGGGTGGAGGGGTTCTTTTCAAAAAATCCTCCAATTAATTCATTAGCCTTCGAACAAACTCTCCTGCAGCTCCTGGGGTACCACCCTCATACCCCCAGAAGCTCCAGAAGAGCTTGCTCACAGGCTACCAATTCATTGGTGTAAGGGCTTGTAGGGCATTTCAATGAGGGCAGTGACAGGGGGTCCAAACTTCCTGTCTGCTGTACCTTGAATTTCCTGCTCCAATTGCATTTTTCTTGGCTAATTACACCCTTAATGTTTTCTCCAATTAACAAAAAAATGAGCATTGCTGCAATATTTTCCCCTACCTCTCCTGCAACCCCACCATTCAGAACTCCCACCCCCATACCCCCACATTATAAGGCTATCACTAATCCTTGGACACCAAATTTAGACCATATTTATTTCATTAAGCGCCCATCCTTGAATAAGCACCCCCACCTCAAATAACCGTCCACCTTATAGGTAGGAAAAGTAAAAAAGTGCTTTGAATAAGTGCCCACCCCCCCCCCCCCCAAAAAAAATATTGACCTTACTGACAGTGACTGAAATAGACTAAGTACTACCAGAAACCCATATGAGTTTCTGGTACTACTAAGAGACTTCCCTGAAGACCACCTTAGTATTTTAAAGAAGCTTTCAATGTACAGTTTAAGCTGGCCTAGGAGTTTTGCTACCCCCCCTGGTGGGAGTGCTAGTCCATTGCAGGGTTACCCCCAGTAGTATGTCAGCAGTACCCTTTTTTAACACCTGGTGCCCTCTGTCCCCAAGGTGGCCATTGTAGAGAGGTTTACCTGTACGTACTAGCCAGGCAACTTACATTAATTTGATGCCCAAGTTAACCCATTTGAAGAAGGATCAACCCTTTGTTCATGTTTTAACGGTCAAGGACAAAAACAGGGTGAAAGATCTTTCAAACCATACCAGAATGAGCACAATTCAGTCAAGGACACTGCAAAAAACCATGACAAGGACCTGAAAACCATGAAAATCTTGTTCCATTACCCACCAATAATCCTAAGATGGAAGCGGAAAGTAAAAGTCAAGACTGCTGTGTCACTTTTAAACCCAAAAACTATGTCGAATTTTGCTTTCTGCGCATGCCCGGTAAGCTGATATTTTGACAAGCGACCTGTAAACCGGTTTGTGGTAAGTTTTGCTCTTTATAGCACGACAGTGACCAGAAAAACTGGGTTAAGAAGGTCAATTTTGTTAAAACAAGTTCATGATAAGTTGATTGAAACCATGCAATATGGAAACTTGACAGCATGTAAACTATAGAGTTGTAATTACTGTATTTTCTTTAGTTTTTTTGTCTTTTTGGTCTTAGTTAGGTACAATAAAAGACTTACTGCCAAAAGCGTGCTTTGAACATATTATTGAGTATAAAGTGCATGCATGTATGTTGATACAACAAATTGAATACTTATTTTCATACACCAAATTCAAATTTTATTTAACTATTTCAAAACTGTTAATTTATTTTTACAAATAGGTTCATATCTTAATTTTCTGAGATAATAATCAAATATGATCTTCCTTTTAATTCTGTGATAATTGTAAACCTTTCATTTATCTGATAAAACTTTAACCTCTTTATTAACAAACACTTACAATAAATTTCCTCCACGTTACAAATCTATGTTAAATAAAAATATTTAGTTTGCACTTTGCATGTCATTTTTGATGTTTCAATAAAGAGAAATAGTGTTTTACTTTTTTATTTGTATTTATCGAGGAAATATAAATATTATATTATTTGTAAAGAGTCATATCTTCACACGCATACTGACATAACACCATTTTCATGACAACTTAAAAAAACTGAATTAAAAAAAATACCCGCTCAAACACAAGGAGTTTACCTTATCGCGTCAAGAATACCCCTTGCATTTTTTCATGGATATTTTAAATTCTGGCCAAAAGGGGTAGAGACGGTAAAAGCACACATGAGCTGCAAGAGCCCACAAGTTCAGAGCTTAACCTGGTTTCGATCGGTTGCATGAAATACCTAGTAGTATTGTAACTCCCCCCTCCCACTCCAGATGGGATGCTAGCTAGTCCATAGTTTTATCCCTACTATTATGTCACCGGAAACCATTTTATAACCTAAAAAGCAGAAAGAATGAGGAGCAAGGTTTCTTATCTAAGAAAAAGCGACTCAACAGCAAACATTAAAGGGGATACTTAATTTGCTTCTAATGTGGCCCAGGCATTGGGTACTTCTGTGGGAGTGTCCACTACACATAATAATTATTGTGGAAATACAGCATATCTTACCCATCCATAAAAAACTACTTACTACAACTATCTTCTCAGGATGAAATTTGTCTAAATGGGCACATATTTAAAGAACTATTCTACTCAACCATTTGCTACATCTCAACAATTAAAGATAAACTGACCTGTATCTACACGTGGCTAATAATATCCTCTTTTTCTGCAACATGAATTTTGACTTTTCTAACTCCTGGGAGTAAGGGGGTGTCACTTGCTTCACTATTTTCGCTCAGGTTCTGGAACAACAAATTATTGAATGATTCATTGGTTGCCTTTGAAATGTGTCATGACTTCAAGATTGACTATATTCTGCCCTCTGAGAATCTCCTGAGACACCTGTTTGTGATTCCAGTACAGAACGTCTTTTCCATTTACAGACTTTAAGTACATTCGGACCTGCATGGCGAGAAAGGCGAGAAAAGGATTATTGGTCAATGAGTGACACATTAGAATAATAGCTTTCAAGCAACTGTTGAACTGAAAAAAAGGAGTTTTTCATAAATGATAATAGCCCTTAAGTAAGGTTTGATTCTCATGACAGTGTGGTTGTCTGCTTCATTAACCGATTATTAAGCCCTAATAACAGTAAGCTGCATATGATTTCCCCATTAACTCTTTTTCTACAGGTGTCACAAATATCTGACAAATTTGTCTCGTAATGCAAAACATTCTTAGTCACACATCAAAGTTGTGGGAAAAAGGAAATGCACATCAAAAACAAATTAAATGTACCAGTAACAATTTTTACATAAATTCTTGTCAATAGTTAGTGCAGAGGCGAATAATTGTACCAATAAGGCATTGAGAACTTACTGTTGGTGTTATTGTCTAAAAACAGGAATACTACTTTTTGCTTCACCAGTTTAAAGACCTTGTTCTGGGCATGAGGAATCTAGGCCATGGACAGCCCTTTGTTTCTGAGTGGGCAGTGAGATGAGTAAGTAGATTAGCATTTAGTATTAGTATTAGTATCTTTGAAGGGTATTTACCACATGCTTTATTTAAAAGAGGGGAAAAACCTTTGCCCATCTTTTTCTTATTCTCAGAGCTGCAAATAGAGATGTTCTTGGGGCTAGGACGGATCTAAATACCAGTATGGCCAGTGTCAGACGAGTATGAAATCCTCTCTGCCGTTAGACATGATGACTGGACAGATTAAATACTTGAGACTATCAATTTGAAGCTCGAGTGGCTGCAGGGTCTTTTTTTAATGAAAAAAGAAGCATTGGTCAAGCAAAGTGGATTCAAGAAATTTTTCATCATACTATTGTGCAAGATACACAAGTATTCTGTGACAAAGGTTGGTTTCTGTGTGTGCTACTTTGAAGAGCACAAAAGAGCTGAAAAGAGTCCAAAAGTTGTGAAGGCCATTGTGCAAGATGATTAAAAGGATGGTTCTTTTCAGGTGGAGCCATGGGCATGGTGAATACTAAAAAATTTTCTCTCATACCTTTAACCCAGCAGCTGCTGCGGGTCCTTTTGGATCTACTGTTTGTATGTACACTGGACTGGAACCCCGAACTACAAACCCAAACCCAACTGCATCACTCTTGACCTGAAGAAGATAAAGGGGCAAACAATATTGCTCTGTGGCTTATTAAGTTGTTTTAACTTTTAGTTTGAGGGAGCTACATGGACTTGTACATAAAACTTGACAGAATGAGAGAACAAAGAAGGGTAAAGGTGGAACTGAATATTAGGGAGAAGGCTGTGTAGGACTTGCTTCATCAATAGTTTGAGTTTGACTTGAAAACTCACAGTCAGGGCAGTAATAATAATAATACAGTTTAGTAATAATAATAATAATAATAATTATTATTATTATAATGTTTTCGCTTGTAGGATTGGCTTCAGTAAGGAACAGTTATAATTTATATTTACTATTACACATCACAATAATTAAATTATGTTGCAGCCAACATACCCTGATATTTTTGGTAACATAAGGCCCATTAGGATCCAACAGTTCTTCAGTAGAAATTTCTCTGACAATAACTTCAATAAAATTTTTAAAAAATTACAAGTCAACTTTAAAAGCTAAAGAACAAAATTTATATTTTTTTATTTGTAAATAACAACTATTTTGTTAAGAAATTGCCCTTCATTTTGAAGTAATTCAATTTCAATGAACAAGCAATGATTGAATAGCTAGATTACAGTACGTTAGGAGAATGCATTTTAACTACTAGCAATAAGGAAAGCTAAAAACGTCCAGGGTGCAAAGAAAGTCAGTTTTACAGCTTGCGTTTCGAGCAAGCTGTAGCTAGCATATACAAGCCCAAGAGTCAATTTAACTAGCCCCCCCCGCCCCCGGCCGCCCCAACAAGAATTCCAGATCAACGGGATTGATTACAGTTCATCTGTTGGATTCTTTTGAAAAACTTCACTTGCCCATCAAGCAAGTTAAGAACAGTTTTCACAAGCCCAATAGCAAAATCCACTAACCCTGGGCTATGGGACACAACTTTCTTTGCATTCTGAAGTCATTACCTGCACTGACTTAAGACTAATGGTGGTTATAAGGCTTCAAGAAAAGTATCTGACTGCCTGTATTCTTTTAAGATGTAGCCTATTTAAACTACAGTTATTTGACTGGAATAAGTCCAAAACAGGGTATTTTTGTCTCTGACAAGGTTAAAAATCATATTAGAACAGGAAAAGGAAAAAATATGTAGGGGGAGGAGAAGGGGAGAAGAAGAGAAAAAAGTAATGTTTGCACTCATAGTTTTATATTGACCAGTTTGAGACAATTTTTTGTACAACATTACCGTAAAGTTCCCAAAGTAACGACCCCCCTGAAAGTGGCGACCCTTCGAAAGTGGCAACCCTCCGAAAGTAGCGACTACAAAAGTGATTTCCCTTCTTGCTAAAAATAACAGAAATTATAGATATATTTTTTAACGATTATAATGATCTTTGGCATTCCTTTATGCAACTCAAAAGGTACATTACATCTTTTTTTCTTCGAAAAGTCTTCCTTTTGTCTGTGAATACCCACAAAGTAATCAAACAATCCTTTTGAATATTTATTTAAAAAGCAACAATTAAAATGAAATAAGTTTCTCCAAATAAAAAGTGTGGATGTTCTCACAATAATATTGTCGCGATATTATTGTCGTAACTTTGTACGGCCCACGTATGATACATGTTTTAGCTACCCTCCAAAAGTAGCGATAGGAAAAGGCTGCTGAATCCAAAAGTAATGAGGGTCATTACTTTTGGAACTTTACGCTAAATGGATTCAGAGTAAGCAAGGACTTAAGTGAAGTAGTGTTTTAAAAACTTAAGCTAGATGATTAGACTTTTCACAAAGTGTTGTTAACACTGACAAATTCATTTAAAACTTTGACCAAGGGGGTTGGCAGTTTAACTTGGAGGACAGTAATTATTAGAGAAAGCATACAATACTTGTTTGAGGAAATACATTATAATTATTATATTTTCCTGGTCAACCACAATAAATTAAGGAAACAAAATAATGTACATTTTGACTCCCCCATCCCCCTTGACATAGCACAATAGTTTTGAGTAAAATGACCCAGCTGGCCACTGTGAATAACCTGGTCTGGGTGATTGACTTGGGCTGCCACTGGATGGGAAATACTCTGGGCTGTCTGGTGAGTAATCTAGAAATAGGCAAGAAATAGCAATCCATTACTTAAAATGACCTCTTCAATCCTGGGGGTAGCCAGTCTTAACTCTTTAAGCCCAAATATCCGAATACAAATTCTCAAGACTGATCTCCATACATTTCCTCATTAGTTGGGAGAATTTGTTTGAAGATCAAAGCGTTTTCCATGAAGTGATTACTTTATATATTCTCACAACATTTTCTTTTGATTTTGTACTGATATTGTTAGGAGAGAATTGATTTTCGTCACTCTCGAGACTTAAAGGGTTAATAGGCCATTTGAGAGTTCCAAAAAAACCCTCACTTACAAAACAAGGCTAAGTGCAAATTCTTTGTTGTGAAAATGAGTTTTATTTGCACAAGAATAAAAGAATCATTTTCATATCAAAGCCTTTGCACTTAGCCTTGCTTTGAAACAGAGGCTTGAGGCAACTTGGAAATGGCCTATTTATGAAAATTACAAATTAATTCATTTAGAAAATTTTGAAGGGTTGACCAGCTACCCTGCAAATACAGGTGCTGTCATTGCTTCAAAGAAGTGATTAACAGGGGCTGTACTTGCAGCCAAAGCTCATCTCTCTCAAAAATAATTCATTATCCTTTTCTCTGACTTAATTAGCATTAAGTTATGGGACGAGATCCCTGTCAAGGAACACAACAAAGGACTCCAAGTTCTAATTATGTCAGAGAAAGGGAGGGAGGGCTGACCCTTTTCACTGACACTCTTTGTGAACTCGTCTGACAACTTACATATATTATTCAGGTTTATATAATGCCTAATATGTTATTGCACAGGGTAATGAATATTACATGACTGTGAATAGATACTCTAACAACTAGCTTTTCAAAAGGACGTGATAATATTATGAATAAAATTTCATTTTTATTAATGAATTATTTTGTTAGATTGACTAAACTAGAAAGATAATCAACTTTCAAATCAGACAGCCCGAACAACTAAAATACTGTTATCCATAATACTATCGCGAGACTGAAATATGAAATGTTAAAGCACATCCACAAGTATTATTACATGAGTAATACATAACCTAACCTGCATGTAACTTTTTAAGCACATGCGCACTAATAAAATGTGACTAAGTTTTACTAATGTCAACAACACTACATTACACTGGGTAAAGGTTTCTTTTAATCCATGAATAAATGGCAGCCAATGATCATTGAAAATGCCTGTCATTTGCTAGATTTTAAAACAGCTAATTTTCCATTCCCTCAATGTCATTTCTGTAAGTAACAGCTATGAATATGACGTATATGTATGGTATTTGGAGCCATTCCACCACCAATTGGGTTGCATATGCCCTCACTACTGGAATAGCAGGAGATTTGCCGGTAGAAAAGTGGATTCACGTCTCCCTTGGATGTAGTGAACAGGATTTCATTCCTCATAGGTGAACCAATAAATTAGATCTTATGTAATAACATTGCTGTTATCCCCACCATCTGTAGCCATTACCCACCCTTTCCACATTGATACGTATTCTGGTACGCCAAACTACCTACCAAGTGGCTCAGTTATTCCTGGCTTTTCTTTTAAAAAGGGGACAGGACTAGATCGCTGTGTATTTAATGGAGGAAGATTGCGTCGTCTAAAGTTCCTTGGTGAACCAGGAGCCTTGTCATCCACAATACCCAAACTGTCAATCATCTTCCTGGTTACTACTTTATCAATCATGAACTGATAGAAGATGTTTTCATCTCTAAAGTGAAATTCATCTGTAACTAAAAGAGTTGTAAGAAAATTTAAAAAAAAACCCAGACTTTTGCAAAGTCTTCTGACTGTTACTAGGGAGAGGGAAACAAATTGGCCAATAGCTGACCAGCGTGTCCCCAGTAACAATCCCAGAAGTCTTTGTGAAAATCAGCTTGGCCCAGTTTCCTTCTTGTTTCTAAAGGTGATGTTACATGGGACAATTTGCAACAAAGATTTTTAGCGCAACACAGCATTACAGCATTGTTGCAACATTGTTTCGAATGGCTGCAACATTGTTTCGAATGGTTGCAACATTGTTCCAACATTGCTATGCTGCATTATGCTGAAAATCATCATTGCAAATCATCTCATGTAACATCACCTTAAAGTGGCGAATAACTTATCTGAAAGAACTAGTGACATGTAAAAAGGGCATTGGTTATGTAACATCACCTTAAAGTGGCAAATAACTTATCTGAAAGAACTAGTGACATGTAAAAAGGGCATTGGTTATATCCCTAAAAAATTTAAAAATAAAAGATCCAAATTATTCTCTTGCCTTAAAGGTCAAGAAGGAATGAATCCAAAATGACTGGAGGTAATCCACTTGGCTATTTACAAGCATGGCAGATGATGTTTAACTCAAAACTACTAAGAATAAATCCAGATATAGCAGTCAGTGTGGGATTATGAACTATTATTGGGGCCACCAGATTGCAATTCTAGCACTGCTGCTAAGCCAGGCTTCCTCCTCCTTTTCTTCGTTTGAGAAAAATTTGGTAATTCCCCTACTTCCATGCATTTATTAATAGACTTTCCTTACCATGTTTAATGATTGCTTGATCTAAGAGTTCTTTCCCAAGTATTAATCCTTGAGTTCTATCGGTTACTTCACCACTTTGTATCAACCAGTCCACTAGTTCAACGCCTGTGAAACAACTTCGGTACACAAAGTCATGACAAGGACGTGACTTGATTAAATGGCAGTCCTCATTCTTTGCCCTGTATGGAAATTGACATTCACTTCATTATGAGTGAGGAAGTGGGTGAAAAATGTAAGAGGGTTTCTCATTAAAATGTCAACAGAATAACAGGAAATCAATTTCAACAGCTAAAAAACCAGTAATACACATCCTGCCCCCAAAGTCTACTACTCCCTGTTAAATTTCCTTTCTCTTTTCTTTTTAACTCTTAACAACTCTGTTTACCCATTGTAGTAATTCTACATGCAGTCAATACACAGTGGTAGGAGATCTTAGCAGAGTGACTGAGCTTGTTAAAGAACATCCCCCTGTCATTAACTGACACTTTTTGTTAAGCTTTTGACATTTTAAGTAATTTTCAGGAATATACCAGGATAGGAACCCAGTAATGAGGTCCTGTTAGGGTAAAATTGTAACAAGTGATATGGCCTTAAACTGAATGACATGGGACAGTAGAAATGGTGACAAATGATACAAAGATGGGTTGAAACTGCGACAGCAACAGAGAAAAGAGCAAATAAAATAGTAAAATACTGACAGCGA